ATCGATAACTTCATGTTGAAGTATTTAGTTATTAACTTTCGTTTAGTTTGAAGAAAAAAATGGACATGTTTATGTTTTTTATTAGCCAAGTGTCTGGTATTGTGGATGAATTGTGGAAAAGTTCATTTGATGATGATGGGGTCCACCTGTTTGATAAAATCAAAGTTATTTGTTGTTGGCATTTTCTAATTGTATAGAATCTGGTTGTAAGGCTGTGTAAACGTCATACTCCACTGAGAGATTTGGTTGTGCTAGAATTGGGTTGTAACGCTGCGTATAGACTAGACTCTGCTTGTGAGTTTACACCGCGTATGTTTAATAGAAAAAAGACAATTCTTGAAATGGTAGCAGGCGCAAAGCTAGCAGTTGCAGAATTTGGTAGATTTGTATTCTAGGCAGTTGATAAAAATGAAGCACTTTGAAAGGATATGCTAATTTGTTTAACTGGTGTGCTTATGCTATTCATACTCCAACATTCTAAGTAGGTCATTTGGTTGTTGATTAGAGTATAGCAGATATTAGTTACGCAGAGATTGGTTGTTCGAGGTTTAGATATTCCATCTTCTATACAGCATAAAGTAGTGAATAGATTTCCTTTTAACTTATACACGTATTAGTTGTAATTGATTCTAACTTGCTAACCAAAAGTTGTGTTTAGTGTGTTGAATTTTATATATTAGCAAAAAATTACTGCCCCAAATATGGTACAAATTCTGCGGTGATTTAATACATGAATGACTCACATCCTAACCAGCAACCAAACATACATATTTTACTGTTGGTTTTGGCTCTGTTCATGCTTTTAATGAGTGCAGTTGGGCTGGAGAATTAGCACCTCATTTTTTCGCATGTTTTTCTCTAAATGAAGAATTGCAATCTTATAGTTGGTCTTCACTATTCTTTCTCCCCCCGCCCTCTTTATTTTCTTGTAGTTAAATTATTCTATATCAGTATCCTAAGAGACTTGTTACCTTTGCTTGATGTTAGATATCGATTACTACAAGTACTTCCGCTGGCTTAGAGCAGATCCTGCCATGGATGTTTTATCATAAGGTCATTGGCGTGACAAACTTTTTCCTGTTTGTGGAGGGAAAAGCTGCATCTCCCGATGTATCTAAAGTGCTAAAATCTATTCCAGTAAGTGTTCATATCTCCTTAATATTTCCATTGTCGTGTTGAACATTTTGTTTCATCACTTCTACCATTTTGTGTATTTGGACTTGTCGTATTTCTTCTGTTGATTATATACAAAATGTGTGTGCTCTGCAGGGTGTAAGAGTTATATATAGAACAAAAGAACTAGAGAATGTACAAGCCAAAAGGTAAGCGGTCTTTGCCTATATATACATTTTCTGTGCCTAAACTATGAAGATGAGGTCTTTGTTCAGTAGAGTAGACGTTATTTCCTATTGCTTTGAGAAATGTTTTTATCCCTTCCGTGGGTTTATGTTCTTTATTTAGCCTCGTATGATTCATTTTCTTTATGTTGCTAATGGATGCAAGTAATAGTCGATGATAGAAACTATTTATCCAAAGCAAAGCTTATTGACGAACATATGTTAGCATGGGTCAACAAGTTTCCAAAACTTGTTGGGAGTTCCTTACATAGCAACGTAATATATATCAGGAGTAACTACAATGCACGGGTGGAGGGGGTTGATGTGGACCGTCTAATTTACCTATTAATAGCAAGCAGTAATTACCTTGGGTAGTGGTGACAACAGATTCTCTATTCTATTTGTCTTGAGACTAATAATAGACTTGGTTCCTAGAAGGGAAAGAGGGAAGGTTAAATGAGAGTGAAGTTCATTGATTATTTACCCTACGTGGAGCACCGAGTATTTAATTCACTTTATTTGATGTATTGGAAGGTAAGTAAATAAGACATACTTCTCTCAGTCCCCCTTGGTAAACAAGAGAAATAACTCTTTCACCTCTCGTCTCCCAACCCTTTCTCCTTTCAACCCAAGCGACATTGTATGACGTATGTTTCAAGTCATTCATCTTGAGTAAGCTTGGATCTGTTTTGAGTGTAATATGACTAATGTAGTGAAAAATGGTAATAGACTTTAATGAAGAAGTGATTATTCAAGTTACTAACTTAAATAGAACTAAATTTGGAGAGTGAAATTTCCATACAAGCTAGTAAAAATGCTCTGTTCCCTATATTTCATCTCACGTCTCAATTAAGTAAGCTTATTATCTGACATACTGATGATCTATAATGTGTTGTGTCCTAGTCGGATTTGGAATGAGACGTGGCTGGCTGGATTCTTTTACCAACCATGCAACCATGAGTTATTTGTCAAGCAGACTCTTAACATGGAAATGGCCATCGTCATGGCAAGGGTATGATTGCAATAACTTCCATCTGTTTCCAGTTATGGTTACCTTTTGATCCACTATATTGCCTAGTAACTCTACAGGAAGCTGGCGTGGACTGGATCATTCATCTCGACACCGATGAGCTAATGCATCCAGCTGGAACTAGTGAGTATTCTTTACGGAAACTTTTGGCAGATATACCTGAAGATGTTGACATGGTCATCTTTCCTAACTATGTAAGTAATTGAGCTCTAGGCTGTCTTTTAACTGTGTCTAAGCATGTAATTACATGCCGAATAGTCAAAACGCATGCATTTGATTCGTTTTCATTTTCTGCGGTCTTTTTTCATGTCAATATCTTCTCTGATGATGACAAATATTTCAGGAGAGCAGTGTTGAGAGAGATGATGTGAAGGAACCTTTTAGTGAAGTAAGATATCTTTCACTGTATCCTTTTTTCTTATCTTTCAAGTTCTAGTATTAAAATTCAATCGTTTGGCTAGGAACATCCTCCACCTCTATACATGAATAAATTTAGATTTTCTTAAAATAAATTTGGATAATTCTATTACCCAATACTTGAGAATGGAGCAACAGCTAGTAGTCAAAGAGTCACCGCTTTCCAGACGAATGAAAAAGAAGGTTGCGTTGGAGTTAGACATTGTGGAGGCAAGAAAGGAAAATTGTACCTAGCGAACACAAGGAGCTTGAGTGTTAAAATTTTTTAGAGAGAGTTTGCGTAGTCTGTAATTTATTTTAATTATTGTGCAACTAAAGTTCTTTTAGACTGTTTACCAGCAATGCATCTGTATCATGTGGTAGGTCTCGATGTTCAAGAAGAATTATGACCATCTCACAAAGGAAATGTACTTTGGAAGCTACAAGGAAGCAACTCGTGGTAATCCCAACTACTTTTTGACTTATGGAAATGGCAAATCAGCTGCTCGAGTTCAAGATCATCTTCGTCCTAATGGTGCTCATAGATGGCACAACTACATGAAAAGCCCAAAGTATGCTTGTTCTGCATGTTACTTGTTTTCCTTTATCTCTATTTCGTTTCTTATTTATTCCCAGTCCTATAGAATCACTGTTTTATCGAAGTTGAAAACATACTTGTAATGTTGTCATATTTTTTCACTTCTTTGGTGTGATTGTCTTCGCTTGTATAATGAAAATGTATTTTCTTATTATTGTAGAGAGATCAAACTGGGAGAGGCTGCTGTTTTGCACTACACATACCCCAAATTTTCAGATTTAACCTCACGACGAGATCGTTGTGGATGTAAACCTACTAAAGAAGATGTGAAAAGATGCTTCATGCTAGAATTCGACAGAGCTGTGAGTAATAGGCAGTCTGTTATTAAAACAACAAATGTTTTTGGGGTCAAAAAGATGGACTGTATAGTTTGTTTGTTGATAATTTTCATCTTCACATTGCAGGCTTTTATAATAGCTTCGACTCTGACAGAGGAGGAGATGCTTGACTGGTAGTAATTCTTTTAACTTCCATTCCATCGAATTCATGCTAATCCTTATACTACTTATTTCGTGAAATCCTTCCCTTGTTATACTGTAAAATCTTATTTCATACTGATCTGTAGTCCGCGTGGTGCTTGATTTCTTTTTGGTTTGTATATTATGCTGACAGAACCTTTATTGGATTAGGTACCGTGAACATGTTGTTTGGACGGATAAAACACTCATCCAGAAGCTTATCAAGAAGGGCATATTGACGCGCATATATACTCCCATGGTAAGATCAACTTATATTTGATTGCGGAAGCTCCTTTTGAGTTTATATTGAGGGTCATGAATCCTAAGAAGCTGAACTCATAGTAACTTTTGTTTTTCGGTCTGTGTAGGCCATTGTACAGGGTTTGAAGGAATCTGGTGTTTTCGTTTCTATTATTGCTTCAGCACATAGAGATGTCATAAAAGACGAGTCTCTATCTTCTTCTGCTGGAAACAGAAATGCTTCCGGATATCCTCATATTACTGATACTTTTCCCAGAAAGATGGGTCGTATATTGGAATCTCAATCAACTGCAAGGAAATTCGTGGACTTTAGTACAACTGATCATCAGGCAATTCCACCCGAATCACCTCCTGGCATGGATGGAATTGATCTCGCAGATACAAAATACCTTCTGAACAATAGCTCTTCTTGAAGAAGTATACTTACATACCCCTCTTGGGAAAATAGGTGTGTACATTAGTTCTGTCATACTCCATAGAGTTGTTCGAGTATCATATCATAGAGAATGAAGTATTCTTCATCTTTTAAAAGTTCGATATGTATACATGACAGAATGCTTTGGAGAATGACAATCTTATCGATATACAAGAATAGATCTCTTCCATGCCTCAAATCTTTCGATGATGTTCTAACTATTACTCGTCTGTTTTTTTCTTTATTAGAACTGAGTATGATTCTTAGATTGTTGTTAAGTAATTTGGTTCTGAATCCAGTAGTTCTGGTCCAGAAATTATACAAGTGCTTGTGCATAAAGGGTGATGTTACATTTGTTGTAATGCTTATTTGTTATGTTTTAGATACACTACTTTTGAACTAGCAATCAGATGAAGTAGAGATTTAAGAAATAAAAGTATATTCATTGATTTGATTATATGAAACAATTTCACTAAACAAAACTACATTGTTGACAAGAAGTAGACTAAGAGAGCAACTGAGATAGCCATTCCTTGTTTTGTCCCATAAATTTATCAAAATCACTTAATTCATCTAATAAACACTCGTCGTTGTTTGTTGGTTCGACTTGATAAGCATTACCTGCTGTCTCTTCAACATTCTGCAGCACTTGCTCTTCCTGATAAGGAAAAACTAATTCACCATTCATATTCCCTTCATTCATTGCAGCATCGTTCCCTTGAACCATTGGAAACGTGACGATTAGCTGAGAAAGTTGATGATCCTCCATAGGCCACTGCGGTTGTGTTGTCATATCGTTCCTATTCTCATCATCACATCCAACATACCCTGATTCAATATTTTGCATTGGCTTCACAATCTGTTGAGGAAGTTGATCACTATATCCAAATTCATTAGGCCCTTGGGGTACTAGTGTATCATCACATCCAACATACCCCGATCCAACATTTTGCATTGGATTCACAATCTGTTGAGGAAATTGATCACCATATCCAAATTCATTAGGCCCTTGGGGTAGTAGTAGTGTATCATCACCATCACCATCATCATATCCACTGCCAGTTGTTGTAGGCATATGATTTCTTGATTTTTTAACTTTACACCTAATGTAGCACAAAACAACATCCTTGTGCTTCATCACACCTCTGTTACTCAACAACTTTATTACCTTGTCGTCAAGACTATACTCTTTCATGATCCAAGAAACGTCGTTAACTACATCCTTTTTATTTTCTTCATAGTTATAAGTTTTTTTCATCCCAATTTTCTTCGCACCTATTGACTTTCCTTTGCTCTTCCCTTTCCAACTTCCTCCTCCCACCAAAGTCCGACTAAACCTTGTATCGCGTTTCTTTAATTTAGTAAAAAAATATTTAGTACCGGATGAGTCTTCCAGTAACTCCCATGGCTTCTTACTTCCGTAAAGTTCTTCAAATTCAATATCTTTACAAACGTAGTTTTTAGAAACAACAAATTTAATCAAGTAGCGAATGAGCTGTTCATCAGTGGGTCGAAACCTGACTCCAAATTCAGCGTCTGGAGATTCAATTGCCATAACTATTGATGAGAGTAGAAACAAACTTTATTAGTTTTAGGCAATGGCTCTAAATAACGATATATGATTAACGTACGTGATGTATTATTAGCAAGAACTGTATTGATGCCCAAAGCCCTATATATTATATTATGACGTTAAGGTTAGTTAAAAAATGGAAACCAAATTTAAGAATAATTAGGAAACGTAAATGCAAAAACTTTCCTTTTATATTTCAAGATTAGTTACTTAAAATCATTCTAATACAAACGTAATGCAAAAACTTTCCATATATAATAAATTTAAAGTCTCCTTTTTTTTGTTTCATTATATAAATCAGTTATTAACTGTAATGCAAATATTTTTTTTATTTTTTTTCTATTTTATTCCCGTACTTCAACTTTAGTTTGACCATAAAAGTTTGGGTCAATTGTTTTTTCTGATATATTGCTTATTTTTTTATATAGTTTCATTAATTGTTAATATAATTTAAATTGTTTGTTTTAATATTATCAGTATTATGTAGTTAATTAGGTTTTGCCACTTTTATTGCCGCAAAATCCTATTTAGAATAGGTAATGGAAAAGCAAAAACTTGTCTTAGATAATAAATTTAAAATTTGATGAATAAATAAATAATCAATAATTATATGATAAGTACGGGTGTTTATAAGTTGATTACAATTGGAAATTGGAACTTCGAAACGTAAGCACTGTTTTGCATTTTCGATTGAGAAATGAAAGCATTTTTTATGACATAATACATAAATAGATTCTTTTAACTTGATTTCAATTAATATTTATATTTTTTAGAATTTTGAGTGTGCACAAATAAATATTTATACTTTTATAAAACTGAGCAAATTAACATATTCGATAGGGATAATTGTATATAATAAATAGCAAACTAATAACCCAAAATAAATGGAGTAGCTACGGTTTGATTTAATTGTGCTCCATAGCAAACGTTAGCCAAAGTTTGTCAGTCGCCTCTCTCCCAAAAATCTCGCTCGCCACTCTCCAATTCTCGCTTGCCACTCTCCCTATGCTTGCCTCTCTCGCTTTGTACACAGAAGTGTGTAAATTGTGTTTCTGTTTTGTATAAAGCGAGAGAAAATTGTATATACACATGCAAAAACATATATCTTCGTGCTATACACTTAATTATGCAATTTATAAACATTTTACTTTGATTCAATTGTAGACAAATGCAAATTTTATACAAATACTTCAATGAAAAAGGCCAACAAATTATATAATTGCGAATTATACAATTGCAGTGAAATACAATTTTCTCTCGCTTTATACAACAGAAGTGTATATATTGTGTTTCTGTTTTTGTATAAAGCGAGAGAAAAACATATATCTTCTTCCTATACACTTATAATTATGCAATATACATACATTTTACTTCGATTCAATTGTATACAAAGCAAATTTTATGCAAATATTGCAGCGAAATAGGCAGCGAATTATACAATTGCAGTGAAATTGGATAACGAATTATACAATTGCAGCGAAATAGGCCAGCGAATTATACAATTTAGGCCAACGAATTATACAATTGTATATGTATAGCGAATTATACAGTTTATGTTTGCTATGGAGCGTAATTATTCAAACTTTGATATAGCATACAAATATGAATTTTTTATTTGCTATATGTGAAAGTTGCCCTATTTAATATCCTATGTGTAAAAAAATAATGTTATGGGGTGATAACGTCAAAATTTTGAAAATAGTATAATTATCGTTGCATTATATTTAACAATAATAATAAATAAAAATATTTAGCGACATGTCACATGTTGATATTTTACATAAATTTTCTTTGTTTAGAGCAACAATTACATAAACATGGTTTGTTCATATTGAATATCTCAACTTCATTATTTAGGAAGGGTAAAATAGTAAATTATTACCTTTTTATTAAGCTATCGATTTATCCAATAATTCAATAGTAAAATTAACATCGAACCAATAACTCAAAAACATACAAAACGGACTCCTTGATAGCAATTTGTTGATGTAGGTAACTTATTTTGACATAATATTATAGCTAATTTCACGATTTAAATCCATGATGATACATCATATATATATATAGTGTCTTAATTTTTGGCCTCTAATATGTAGTGTCTTAATTTTTGGCCTCTAATATTTTGCTGGACCACTTAATTCTTTAGGAGTGGCAAAAATATAGTGGTTTGCCTGTAATACAATTTTGTAATATTAACTGGACTTCCTCTAAACTACATTGTCAAATGAAAAGGTTGTGTGGAGCTTTCTGATTGGGTAGAATATTAATTTTTTTTTCAAAATAAATAATTAATCTGACCTAGTAAACAAATATACATCATTTTTAAATATATAAATCAGCCTAAACTATTGAAAACTCAGGTTTGCTTCATGTGAACATTGTCCAATTTTTTTTAATTACTTTATTATTATTATTATTATTATTTTATTTTTATTATTAATAGAAAAGGACTACTTCTCCATGTTTATACTGCCACATCAATCAGAATTTTTTTTTTGTTTAATGAGTTACTACTATTAGAAAAAAAATAAAATATATAATTAAAAGGAAATCACTTAAGTTGGCAATTTTCATGCTTTAAACTTTGAATCTCATGAATCATGATCAAGAACTGGGATAAAGACTCCATATATAAACAAATGATTAGATGAAGTCATAAAAGGAACAGGAGACATGACGGAGTGGTAAGTACTCAATCATTAAAAAAAATTTATAGCGCGTATACAAGCAAATGGTAAGATAACGTATTCTGGATAGTCTTGACACAATAACGTGTTGTAGCCGGTGATTTCAAGGCTCTTAAAAGAGCCAAGACACGCAAATTTTTAGTGTTCACATGTTCGCAACGATCCAAATTTAGTCAGCCCTAATATGAATAACGGACACTGGGTGGCGATTCAAATTTAGTCAGCCCTAATCTCACTACCAGTATTAATGAAGAAGGATTTCTCGCGGCGATCTAACTTTAATCAGCCCTAATATGGATAGCGAACACTGGGTGGTGATCCAAATTTAGTCAGCCCTAATCTCACTATCAGTATAAATGAACTATGATTCTAGCAGCGATCCAAATTTAATCAATCCTAATATGGATAGCAGACACTGAGTGGCGATCCAAGTTTAGTCAGACCTAATATGGATATCGGACGCTAGGCGGAAAATTAAACCTTATATAAACAATTGGTTATAGAAAGTTTTAAAAGGAACATGAGAGTTGACAAGTGAGAAAACAGAACAAAAGCAGATAGATGAAGTGCTGACTTTGACAACTACTAAATCTCTTCATTTAATATTCTTATGAATTTTATAACAACTTCATGGTAGGCAACTTTTTAGTTTGACATTCTTTGATTCCTTAAGACTTTTTCAAGTAAATAGATTTGATTATGAAGTTTATATATATGAAGTTCCACACTCACTAGCAAAAACCCCACAAAAACACAAAACAAAGTCTTTTTACAACTTCAAAAAAAAAATGGAAGGACAAACAGGACAACAAGAGGAGTTATTTGTAGAAATTGATCAAAAAACAGATGATCAAACATATAGCGATGGTGAAGCAGCATCATGTACAACAGATGGTAACGAAATAGTTAATGTTATTGTCACGTCTGATCCGATCTTGCAAGGAGAATCTATGCCAAGAAGGTATACATACTCGTGGAGAAGGCGAATACAGAAAGTTTTACCTCTATTGAAGACGGATGAATACAACAGACACGAGTATGATCCGAAAGTAGTTTCATTAGGACCTTACCATCATGGTAAGACAGAGCTACAGCTAGCAGAGGATTTCAAGCATATAGCCCTTGAAATGTTTGTATCGGGTAGCAGCAGAGACGTAGCTTATTTCTATAACAAGATACTTGAAGTTGTTGACAATGCAAGAAGTTGTTATGTCGATGGCTCCACGGACAAGTACAATGATCATGAATTTGCCTTAATGATGCTTCTTGATGCTTGCTTTATTATCAACCATATCGAGCTAAGCACAACGGATAGGTATAACAAACTCAGAACCACGAGGCACCATCTTGGAATGTTGGCGTTATCAACAACAGTTCGTGATATGTTTTTGCTTGAGAATCAAATCCCATTTTGGATACTGAAGCTCTTGATTAGCTTACGATATGACAAAGATGAAGGAGATGAATTGCTCGAGATGTTCTTGAATTTCACCCTTTTCGGTGAATATGAACAAGAAGGGGAAATGAGTCACAACCATGTAGAAGAGCCACTCCATCTTCTTGAAGCATTTAGAACAAGACTTGTTTCACAACAGAGTGAAGTACGGAGCTTTCACCGTACTTGCACACCTCAATGGCTAAAAAGGAAGAAAAGTATAAGCAATGAACGCGTTAACATGAAAAGCTACATTCACTCTTTTCGTTCAGTAACCGATCTTAAAGCAAAAGGTATTCAATTCAAGCCTAGCTGCACTCATTCACTCAAGGACATAAAGTTCAAATCAAGATACTTCTATGGACAGCTTGTACTTCCAACTTGGTATGTTTCTATCTACACTAAGGCGTTCTTCTTAAACATGATAGCCTACGAGATGTGTCCAAATACAGTTACTGATCGCGCTGTGACATCATACGTATACTTCATGAAATCACTAATAGAGAGTCCAAGGGATGTCAAGGAACTACGCGAAATGCAAATACTATTCAACATGCTTGGTAGCGACGAGGAAGTGGCAAGAATGTACAAAGAGATCAATACGTATGGAGTGAACAACGCGCACATTTTCTACAATGTGAAAGAAAAGATTCAAGAACACTATAATAACAAGGCGAAAACATGGATAGCAGAGCTTATACACACTTACTTTAGGAGTCCATGGACTGCTTTAGCATTACTTGCAGCTACTTTCTTGCTTTGCTTGACTTTTACACAAACTTATTTTACAATAAATCCCAATCCTAGATTATGAGAAAATATTTGTAACTATTTGAGAAATTTTGTGGTAGAGTACTAGTTTCTTATCTTGTTTGCTGTTACAAGAAAATAAAGATGCTTTTGTGATATAGATATCTCTCATAAAATTATTTTTCACGTATACTTTATAGATGTTGAACTTCGATCCTTGGATTAGTTCTTGTATTTATTTTTTCATATTTTGAACTAAAATTAAGAGGGTTAATTGGGCCGGGTCACTTCACCTTGAAGACCAAGAACCAATCGGGTTCAAAATCCACCTCGGTAATCGGAACCAGCACTATTTGTGATTTGATAGTATAGGGTTAACCAACTAGCCCAGCCCGGAATGCCCAATTGTTAAGTCTAAAATTTAAAATTATATTTCAAAATCGTTAAGTATTTAAAAAAACACTACAATATAAAAAGTTATTTTTAAATTAAAACCCGACCCTATATGGCCCAAAATTATGCGGGTTACATCAAACCCAAACCGATTGGATTCGATATCTGATCGGGTTCCATAATCAGTGAACCAGCCCGGGCCAACTCAATGCCACCCTCGGTGAAAATTTTCACTTTTTCACGGGTTCAATCAAAATAGAAGGAAAAAAACTGAAATACACGTCTTATGTTTTTTTTTTTCAATGTCTCCTATTTCTAAAAACCTCTTAAATAATTTATTTTTCTCCCAATGTATTTAATGTATCCGAGTTACATATTAATGTATCCTAACTATATATTATGTATTCGATTTATTTTATAATGTATTCGAGCTACATATTATGTATTTGGGCTAATTTTTAATATATCCAAGCTACATATTATGTATTCAATTTATGTTATAATGTATTCGAGATACTCTTTAATGTATTCAAAAGGTATAAAGTATAAGGAATTATTATAATTAAAAAAAATAGAGATAAAATGAAATATATTTTTGCACTATGAAATTTAAGTGAATTATACAAAATAGAATATTACGATAGAAGGGCCTAAAGTTGAACTGAGAGTAGGTTCTTTTGAAATGTATTGGGCCTCATCTTGGCCCTTACTCTGGTAACAAACATTCCATTTTAATTTTTTTTTTTTATCACTTGGCTTTTTTCATCATTTAACATTGTATTATGAAACAAAATATATTTAGTAATAAATACTCAAACAATATTGATGAGTGTATATACATCTCTAATCCATAGTTATAGCTTATAGGCTGAATCCATCGGTAGCTTTCTAAAGTTGACATTAATTTTCATTTAAATTAGACTTTGTTCATCTTACACACCTCATGTTGAGTTCCGCTGTGTCATTTGACACTTTTTGATGACTTGATATATTGTGTGTGTTGCATCCATTTTGAGTGCGTGAGGGGTCTTTTTTTGTGTGGATATTTTTAATTTTTTTCCTTCTTCACTTTTTAGCCTTACCACTTATTCCACATTTCCCAATGAAAATTCATGATAAAAAACTTTACAAAATATGAAAAGATTTTTTAGAACAAGACATACATTTTTTTCAAAAAAAAATTGGAAAAATGTCATATATAATTTTCAAAATCAATTAAAAAAAACCTAAAATCTAATGATTTTTTAAAAAAAATTGGAAGAAGAATCAAGAAAATGATTGTAGAGTTGAGGAGGCAAAAGGGACGCAAGACAGATGGGCTTAGGGTGGGATGATATAAGGTGGGGTGGAGTGGTACAAACTAGGTAATTTTATTTATTTATTTTTGCTAAAAAATTAGTTATTTTTTGATACTTTATTTTAAAATTATTATTTTTACATTTAAATGTCAAATATCAGCTTTTATAGTCATCATGTCATGTTATCCGCAAGTGTGTTACACACTCTTTGTAATTTTAGCTGATTGGCAAAAAGGTGCCAAAATAACATAGCGGTCCCCTACTTGAGGTGTTTAAAATGACTACTTGAAGTGTCTAATTGAAAATTGATGTCATATTTAAGGGGTTGCCGATGGGTTCAACCTATCTTTTATATATACGATTATATACAATTTATACAATGTCAATACATTACCTAAAAGTAAATTTATGTGTATTTTTGTTTCTTTTCGCTCAGGGTGCACCAAGTTCGAAAAGAATGAGGATACAACGTAAGCATTAGTGATTGATTCTACTATTTAAAGTTGAATTTATAAGTTACTTGAAGACAATTATATCGTCAAATAGGATCATAAACAAACTATCTTAACACAAGTATTAGTTATTGTCTAGATTTGCTTTCATCAAACTCAAATAAATATTAATTAATGAGAATTATTATACCTTTTTATATTAAAATAAACTATACTCGGAGTTTACTTAAAACAATAAAGAATATTTGCTGCTCTGGACAGACTCAAATAGGGGACCTATCATAAGTACAACCACAACTTATAAGTAATCATATTTTTTTTAAAAAAATTAAAATATTAGTAATCTTATATTTAATGTTTAAAATAACTGTGTATTTGAAACTTTCTGCTATTCATTCCATGCTTAAATTCTTTTTATCATTACACTAATTAATTTCCCAAATTGTTTTTGCATGTAATGATCCTTCATGGATTGGTCCCATTTTTATTTTTTTTAAAACTCAAATGTTGATAATCTCCAATCAGACATATGATTAGTGGAACATGTGATCTTCTAGCTAGTGACAACTCTGCATATGTGAGTTTATTTATTTTATCGAGTTTCAATCGAAATAGAGTATAACGATATATTTATAAATTATGTTAATTTTCAAGTAAAAATAATTCTGAAATGAAAATGAAGAAGTATAGAGAATCGATATTACTTTTCATTTGTATTTTGTATAATATTACTATATGTGTACTGTTTAAATAGTTAATCTCGATTTATTTGAGATCGAAGCACAATGGTTAGATAGTTTATCATTATAGCCTTTTTGTATTGAATAATTGAAAGAAGCATTAAAAAAATCAATTTAAGGGCTTTTGCAATTATGACCTTTCACATTTTTCACTAAGATATATATAATTAACATGCATGAAGAAAAGTGTTACCTTTTCTCTATCTTTCATTTGTCAAATGGAAACTTTATTATTTAAAGAACACATATAATTCCCAAAAAAGATTTAAAAAATATAAAGGCTAAAAATTCAATTATTTTGGATTATATCCTTGATTACCAAAATTGAGTCCATTAAATAACTCAAAAAGATAAATGCTACTTTCCAAAAGGTGGATAGATATTCACATGGTTTATCTATGACCCAAAAATATATGGGACTAGTGATATAGATACAAAAGCGGCTCAATTAAATTAATGGCCTAAATTTTTTTTTTTTAATCTAACGATTTTAAAAAGTAAACTAACCTAAAATGTATTATAGGTAAAAATAAAACTCCATCCTCCCTTAACCTTCCCTAGAGATATTGGTTCGAAAATCTCGCTAGAAAGTGCTTTCCTCGATCTTACATGTCTCAAAACCAAACAAAAAAAATTGAAAGCCTAAAGTTCTCTCTTTAGTGACTTGACTGCATATACAATATAATTTTTTAACGAAGGATTTTAATTGCATTCTATATCAGTGGTCTCTTCACCTCTGACCAAGTGATGATGATGAGTATTACTTGGAAGCTGAAAGTATACTGTTGGATTTGCTAGGTGAAAAAAACAAAAGAGAATATACTAAAATAGTTTTAACACATTGTGAAAATTTTCAAATTTTGGTATCATTTTTATACAGCTACCAAAAAATAATCATAAGTTGTACTACTAATTAAAACTTTATATTTCTTCCGTTTAAAAAAGAATGACCTTGTTGTGCGGAATTTGAGATAATACGAGAAAATATAAACGCGAAAAATAAGACAACAGATTTACGTGGTTCACCAACAAATTGGCTACGTCCACGGGAAGAGAGGGAGCAGTTTTATTATGGAGAGGCAAAAACAGAATTACAGAATAGGGTTTCCCATAGCGTCTATATATAGTGCTAAGCTACGCCCTAACAGGCTTGGGCCCAACATACAGAATCAACAGAAAATTAAGGGCCCAATACAACAACATTGTATACCGTCGGCCCGGGGGCGTCTCCGCCCCCCCGGACCCCCAGGCCAGGGGGCGCGTCGCCCCCCTGGACCCCCCGACTCGCTGACCGGGCAGCGAGACCCCCGTCCTTTCTGTTTGTAGCGGGTCCGATTCAAGGCATTCAACAAATCTCCACCTTGACTTGAATTCTCCGAACAGATTCTTCAGACGCACTATGATAGTGCCAAGCCTCCCCCTCTTCCTCAGAGTTGCCCCGCAGGGCAATTAACAGCTTCTGATGTTGAGCAAGTCCAAACAGTGTTGAAACTTGCTCTGTGGAACCGGCTTTGTGAACATATCAGCAGGATTATCAGCAGTTCCTACTTTCTTCACCTTGATTCTCTTCTCACTTCTTAGAAAATGATACCTTACGTCAATATGCTTGGTTCTCTCATGATGGACTTGATCCTTGGCTAGACAAATTGCGCTCAAACTGTCACAATACACCGTAGCCTGATCATGATGCAGACCAAGATCACTAACCAGCCCTTTCAACCAAATCCCTTCTTTTGCAGCCTCTGTCAAGGCCATGTACTCCGCTTCCGTAGTAGACAAAGTCACTGTAGGTTGCAAAGTTGCCTTCCAACTGACGACAGATCCTCCAAGGGTAAACACATAGCCAGTCATCGATCTTCTTGTGTCAACATCTCCAGCATAGTCTGAATCAGAATAGCCAGTAACCAAGCACTGAGTATCACCTCCATAAATGAGACCAACGTCAGATGTACCTCTAAGGTACCGGAAAATTCTCTTCACAGCCTGCCAATGTTCTCTCCCTGGTTGTCCCATGAATCTGCTCACTACACTGACTGCATGTGCTAAATCTGGCCTTGTACAGACCATAGCATACATCAAACTTCCTACGGCACTGGCATAAGGGACTCGTGACATATACTCCTTCTCTTCTTCTGACTGTGGAGCGAACATGGCAGTGAGATGGATATTGGCAGCACTGGGGGTATCAATGGGCTTAGATGAAGACATGCCAAACCTCGCCAAGACCTTCTGAATGTAGCTTCTCTGTGACAAGAAAAGTTTCCTTCTCTCTCTGTCTCTAATGATCTCCATCCCTAAAATCTTCCGAGCGGCTCCCAGATCCTTCATCTCAAACTCAGCACTAAGTAAACCCTTCAGCTTCTGAATGTCATACTTCTTCTTTGCAGCTATCAACATATCATCTACATAAAGCACCAGATAGATGAATGAATCATCATTGAGCCTATTGTAGTAGACACAACAATCATATGAGCTCCGAGTATAGCCCAACTTCACCATATAGCTGTCAAACCTTTTATACCACTGCCTTGGAGACTGCTTAAGTCCATATAAGGACTTCTTCAACTTGCAGACGTGATTTTCCTTCCCTGGAACTTGGAAACCATCCGGCTGAGTCATGTATATCTCTTCCTCCAACTCTCCATGTAGAAACGCTGTCTTCACATCAAGTTGTTCAAGCTCCAGATTCTGATGTGCAACTATCGCTAGTAACACTCGGATGGAAGTATGTCTGACCACTGGTGAGAAGATCTCATTATAGTCCACTCCCTCTCTTTGGTTGAAACCTCTGGCAACAACCCTGGCTTTATACTTGACTCCTTCTGCTGGTGATATCCCTTCCTTCTTCTTGAAAACCCATTTGCAAGTAATAATCTTTCTCCCCGAAGGCTGTATGACCAGATCCCATGTCTGATTCTTGTGTAGGGACTCCATCTCATCTCCCATAGCGGCAAACCATTTTTCAGAATCAGAACTTAAAATGGCTTCTTTGTAAGTAGACGGCTCAGATGTATCTACCTCTTCAGCAACCTGCAGTGCATAACCCACCATGTCCTCAAAACCATACCTCGTAGGTGGCCGAACTCCAACCCTCCTTGGCCGATCTTGAGCTATACTCTGATGGATATCTGATGGCATAGATTCTGGAATATCAGTTTCAGTCTGTGGCTCTTGATCCTCCTCTTCAGGTTCCTTTAAATCGCTCTCGTTCTGAATGACTTGAAACTCCACCTGTTTGTCAAGACTCCCAGTTTCTGACGTAGTTGTAGGCTTCACAATGGTTCTAAGCAGAGGACTTTCATCAAAGACAACGTTCCTGCTCATAATAACCCTCTTTTCTGCTGGAGACCAGATTCTGAAACCTTTCACTCCATCTCCGTAGCCCACAAATACTCCCTTTTTAGCTCTTGGTTCTAACTTACCTTCACTGACGTGATAGTAAGCCGTACAACCAAAAGCTTTCAGATTTGAATAATCAGCAGCTTTTCCAGACCACATCTCCATAGGTGTCTTGCACTGTATACCTGTATGTGGTCCGCGGTTAATCAAGTAGCAAGCTGTACTAACCGCTTCTGCCCAGAATCTTCTATCTAGCCCAGCATTAGAGAGCATGCACCTTGCTCTCTCCAGAAGTGTTTGATTCATCCGCTCAGCTACACCGTTCTGCTGTGGTGTATTTCTGACTGTGCGATGTCGAGCAATCCCTTCATCCTTACAGAATTGATCAAATTCAGACCAACAGAATTCCAGCCCATTATCAGTTCGCAACCTCTTGATCTTCTTCCCTGTTTGATTTTCCATCAAAATTTTCCACTCCTTGAACTTCTGGAAGGCTTCACTTTTATGCTTCATCATGTACACCCAAGTCATCCTTGAGTAGTCATCAATAATGGACACAAAAAATCTGCAGCCTCCCAAAGACTCAACACGGCATGGACCCCAGCAATCAGAATGGATATAATCAAGTGTGCCTTTTGTTCTATGAATGGCCTTTGGAAACTTGTTGCGATGTAGTTTTCCAAAAACACAATGTTCACAAAACTCTAGGCTCTTAACCTTATGACCAGCAAGTAAATCCTCCTTTGACAGAATTTGCATCCCTCTTTCACCCATATGACCAAGTCTTATGTGCCATAACTTAGTCATATCCTTCTGGTGAAATTCTGACGATGCAACATGGGCTGAACCTGTAACCGTGGAACCTTGTAGAAAATACAAAGTACCACGCATGACACCTTTCAGAATCAAATTTGAACCCTTCCAGACCCGCAAGACTCCATCTTTTCCCGACCAGCTGAATCCCTTGCTGTCCAAAAGACTGAGAGATATCAGATTTTTCGTCATCAATGGAACGTGCCTGACCTCGTTCAATGTGCAGAAGCTACCGTCATGTGTCCTTATCTTGATCGAGCCTGTCCCAACCACCTTGCAGACAGAACTGTTGGCCATCGAGATGCTGCCTCCGTCTACCTGCTCATAAGTCGTGAACCACTCTCTCCTAGGACAGATGTGATAGGATGCCCCAGAATCAAGAACCCACACATCTGAATGATGAGTGTGCTCATCCGCAACTAGGGCAATATCTTCTTCAGAATTGGTGTCTTCTTCAGCAACAGCAGCAGACACTGATTGTTTTTCCGATTGCTTCTTCTTCTTCGGACAATCAAATTTCCAATGTCCCTTCTCCTTGCAGTAATTACAAACATCATCCGGCTTTGCACCCTTCGACATCGGCTTATTTTTCTTTCCGCCGTTTTTCCTTCCCTTTCTGCTACTGGTGAACAGACCGGAAGGCTGTATGTCCGTACTTGTGCCGTTAGCCTTATGCCGTAATTCCCTGCTATGAAGGGCTGATCTGACTTCTTCCAGTGACACAGTATCTTTCCCAACAATGAACGATTGAACAAAATTCTCAAACGACATTGGGAGAGATACTAACAGAATCAGGGCAGCATCTTCATCCTCGATCTTCACATCGATATTACGCAATTCTAATAACAAAGTATTCAATTGCTCTAAGTGTTCCCTGAGTTGTGTACCTTCAGCCATTCGTAAACCGAATAGACGTTGTTTCAGAAGCAGCTTGTTGGTTAGAGATTTTGTCATGTACAAACTCTCCAGCTTCAACCACAGACCAGCAGCAGTCTCTTCATCCGAGACCTCCGTGATGACGTCATCCGCGAGACACAGCATGATCGTCGAGTGCGCCTTTTCCTCCAGAATCGCCATCTCAGGAGTAACGACGGCGTTCTTGTCTTTCGACAACGGCGCCCAGAAGCCTTGCTGTTTCAACAAGGCCCGCATCTTGATCTGCCATAAACTGAAACTGTTCCTCCCTGTGAATTTGTCGATTTTCACGTTCAAAGCAGACATCTCGAATTCTCCAAGAACACCGATTAACCGAGAGGCTCTGATACCAATTTGTTGTGCGGAATTTGAGATAATACGAGAAAATATAAACGCGAAAAATAAGACAACAGATTTACGTGGTTCACCAACAAATTGGCTACGTCCACGGGAAGAGAGGGAGCAGTTTTATTATGGAGAGGCAAAAACAGAATTACAGAATAGGGTTTCCCATAGCGTCTATATATAGTGCTAAGCTACGCCCTAACAGGCTTGGGCCCAACATACAGAATCAACAGAAAATTAAGGGCCCAATACAACAACATTGTATACCGTCGGCCCGGGGGCGTCTCCGCCCCCCCGGACCCCCAGGCCAGGGGGCGCGTCGCCCCCCTGGACCCCCCGACTCGCTGACCGGGCAGCGAGACCCCCGTCCTTTCTGTTTGTAGCGGGTCCGATTCAAGGCATTCAACAGACCTAATTTGACTTAAAACGGAATTTAAGAAAAGAAAGAAATTTTTTTAATCTTATGGTTCTAAATCAAAGTTGTGTCAAATGTATCAAAATGCGTTTTAATCTTGTGGTCTTTTTCATATCACGTGGAAAGTTAAAATTAAAATGTTACTGAAAAAAGAAAAGGGTCATTCTTTTTTAAACAGACTAAAAAATGAAATAAAATTATTCTTTTTAAAACGAAGGGGATAATAAACAATAACAACAAGAAGTAAAATGTCGCAAATTACCCAACATGTTGCACAAAAATCTGTTCAATTAATGTTCTCTTCATGACTTAATTCTTATTAAAGATGGATAGCTTTGATAGAAAGCGTTTTATCCCTGACATTTTAAGATGAGACTTTTCGATACGAATCTAGATTTAATCAGATCCTAACACGGGTACGATTCACAGGTTAAATCAGTAAATAAATTCAAAGCAGAAAGAGACATTTGAAAAGGTCAATTCACAGTTAGGAAAATGACAGTTAGAAAATAAGGACAGAGGGCCCTTTAATAAGAAGTATATGATGTTAAAAGAGACTTCCCACAAGTCACCTCCAAAAGTAGTTAAAAATAATAGAAAGTTGAAACATCAATTCTTTTTTCCCTTTTAATAACCGCGATGTTCAAGTCAGCTTTCGCGCGCCTCAACTTATAATTCCAAGAAATATCTGTCATTGGAATCGCTTACTATTTTTGAATTTCCAAAAATAGATCAAAATAACTGGGGATATTATGTGATTTATTAGTATTCTAAATCTTAGTTTCTTTCGCGTGCCGTACCTTAGGATTCGTGCTATTGCTAGGTAACTCTGTCCATCAAGACCGAAACAAATGAGAAAAATCACCTAGTGTATTTTTTTGTCTCCGCAACTGTTGTCTAAAGGTACCTTTTTTCACTCTTCAATATATTTCATATACTCCACGGCACATGGTGTGGTTCTCAAAGCATAAGTGAGGTCAGTGTTTCTTACTGGATATAAATAGACATAAATTTGGGGAGAAAATGAAACCACATGGAACAACAAAACAACACTATTATTATTATTATTCAAGAATCACTAGCAAGACTGGTTAATTAATGTTACCAAATTTTGCATGTCCTTCAAATTGATCATTTTTAGTCACCCTTTCCTACAATTGCACTAGGTATGTGTTTTAAATTTTGTGATTACTCATATTATTAATATATGATTCCAAGATTGTAAGCTCATTTAGCCATCACATGAACAATTTTGCTGATGTAAGACAATTGTTGTTTTCTGCTGTTATAGTAGGTTAAAGAATAGACTAATGAAACCCCTCTCGTGAGATAGTTTTTGGAGTTGAGGTAGACTTAGATACCTTATAGTTTACATGGTATCAGAGTTACGTTGATCCGAGCTCCTAGTCCATGGTCTTAGAGTGGATTAGAGTCTTACATGGACTTGGGAAATCCTTCCCTCACGCTCCAATTTGCTTATATTACGCGAGATGCTAGCTGTCCTATTGAGGCAGTTTTTGTTTTTATATTGTAGCTCTGCAGCATTTTGTTGTATATGGAATAGAAATGCCTCTGAAATACTTTTCTATATCTGTTTGATTGCTGAAGGACTATTGAATGGGAAAGCGAAGAAACTGGTTTACCTTTGTCAAGAGACTTTTCATTCCTGAAACAGAATCAACAGCAGATCAAAAGGTTTGAATTTCAAGATTTCTGTTGCTTAGTAGTGTGAGTGAATCTTCGGATATCTAAACTGGAAATTTATGAAAAATATTTCAGAAACCAAAGAGATGGAGATGTTGTTTTCTGAGAAAGTTCAAGTTGAGGAAATGTCCTGCTATAACATCAGCACCTCAGCAAACGTTACCTGAGGCGAAAGGAACACCTCAGCAAACGTTAACTGAGGCGAAAGAACAGCAAAGAAAACATGCTTTTGCAGTTGCTATAGCAACGGCAGCAGCTGCTGAGGCTGCTGTAGCTGCTGCTAATGCTGCTGCTGATGTTATTCGTCTAACAGATGCTCCAAGTGAATTCAAAAGGAAACGCAAACAAGCTGCTATTAGAATCCAAAGTGCTTATCGCGCTCACCTGGTAAAACATCCTCTCTGGTAGCTCTAGTACTTTCACTCATACAATTTCACTGTGAACTTGTTGCAGAGACGCTTTTAAATGCAGAAAGATTGAAAATTAGTTAGTCATTCAAGACAAAACTTAAAGGATAGTATGGGAAAAGGTAGGCCAGTTTGGATATAGCAGGATTAAACGCCCAGTGCTCTACCAGCTGAGCTACACACCTAAAAAATGATAATCAAGTAAACAAGTATTGATACAGAAAAAAGGCCTGCCCCTTTACTCTCATCTTATTAAAGGAGCACGACTATTTATTATGAGGCTTGTACTACAGAGCAAGTGGAAGCTCCGAAGGTCACACTTTTTTTTTTTTTTGCCTTTTGGCTGTTAATCATATTAGTCATAAGGTAGTCTATCACCTCGGTTGGAAAGAAAATCTTATTGGTTGGAAAATCCCTCTCCGCTAGTAAAACTCTTCTCTTATGGCGGCTACTAATTCTTTTTCCTTTCATCTCTCAAAAAAACTTTCCGAGATTTGGTGAAATGAACTGGTGTCTGATCTATGTCCCTGTGAAATGTTGTGCAGGCCCAGAAAGCATTAAGGGCTCTAAAGGGTGTTGTGAAGCTTCAAGCAGTGATTAGAGGTGAAATTGTGAGAGGAAGACTCATTGCCAAACTGAAGTTCATGTTGCCACTTCATCAAAAGTCAAAAACAAGAGTTAATCAAATTAGAGTCCCTACTTTTGAAGATCATCATGACAAGAAACTCATCAATAGTCCAAGGGAAATTATGAAAGCTAAAGAACTAAAGGTAAGATCAATCATTCATTCTCTTTTGTTTAATTAAGTTTCCAAACATTAGTTCAACTATACTAAATCTATAAAAGAGACCTACTAACACATCTTATTATGACTTTTATGGTTTGGAACTGTAATATGGTTTTTTGTTTTTTTGGCAGCTTAAATGCAAGAGCCTTAGCACTTGGAATTTCAACTTAGCTTCAGAACAAGACAGTGAAGCCTTGTGGTCAAGAAGAGAAGAAGCCATTGACAAAAGAGAGCATTTGATGAAATACTCGTTTTCACATCGGGTAAAGTCATTACTTGTTATACAGACACTGCAATTACACTTGTCAATGTATTATAAAATGTTGTAGCAGTTAACCTGCCTTATTTTCTAGAATACTAATCTCACATTTTATGAACGATTATTTATAATATATTTTTAGGTAAGCTGATAGTATATTGCTTCTTTTAGGAGAGAAGAAACGATCAAACTCTACAAGACTTACTAAACAGAAAGCAAAACAGAAGAAGCTACAGGATTGACCAGTTAGTAGAACTTGACGCACCAAGAAAAGCAGGGTTGTTAGAGAAATTGAGATCATTTACAGACTCAAATGTTCCTCTAACTGATATGGATGGAATGACACAGCTTCAAGTGAGAAAAATGCATAGATCAGATTGTATAGAGGACCTACATTCTCCTTCTTCACTTCCAAGAAGATCATTTTCTAATGCAAAACGAAAATCAAACGTTGATGATAACTCATTACCAAGTTCTCCTATATTTCCTACTTACATGGCAGCCACAGAATCTGCAAAGGCAAAAACAAGGTCAAACAGCACAGCGAAGCAACACCTAAGGTTACACGAGACATTGTCAGGTCAACATTCTCCTTATAACCTCAAGATTTCTTCTTGGAGATTGTCTAATGGTGAAATGTATGACAGCGCCAGAACAAGCAGAACTTCTAGCAGTTATATGTTAATATAGAAGGTGTTTTACAAGGATTGAAGAACATGAGTGTTGTACATTATTACTATCTTTGATAACGAAGTGTCCAAGCCGGTTTGCTCTCACCTCTGCTAGTTCACCGAGTGTTGTTAACTTCTACAAGTACCAGTACCAGTACTAGGTAACTCTGTTCACCAAAGATGAATGTGTACATTATCAACCTGTTTATGCAAGCAAGGGAGCGCAGAAACTCCTAGATTTGCAGCATTACTTCTGGACATGAAAACAATCAGAAAAATGGAGCTATTATTGGAGCTTCAAACTTCTTCAGTAATCTATCTACAGTTGATTGATGAAAGATTACTGGTTTTAACACTTTTTTATATAGACTTGCCACAATGTGTATATATAGTTCAAGTTTTTTTCCCTTTCCCTGTTTGTTTTCCCTTGTTTCATTTATTTATTGATTTGTAAAGTTGTTTCCATGAGACCAGGAGGTCACAGGGGTAAGATTCTGTACAATAGACCATATGGTCTCGAGCCTTCACCAGACCGCACATAGCGGGGAGCTTAGTGCACTGGGCTGTTGTTCTTTTTTTTTTTTTGCTTCTGAGTTGATATACTGGAGGAAGAATTGTTGTTTGATGGCCATTCACCTGGAAGCATTTCCAAGTTTGGTAATTGCATAGAGGTTTAATCTTTGCCTTCTGTATTTACATAGGTTTATTTCTTTTGATTTCTTCCTTCAAAGTTCAAACCACCTCTTTATTATTTCATGTAAAATCCTTCAAAAAAAAATGAACTTACACCAAAATTTATGTCTTACCTTTCTTACAAAACCATTGATGTTGAAACTAAGGAAAATGGATTGGACCAACCATATGTAGAAGAAATATAGCAAGTTTACTCCAACTTTCACTACTTATGTTAACACATTGAACACTTGAGAAACAAAATCCATTGGAAGCTCCTCATTTCTACAGGCTTAAAATGTCTATGGTATATCCAATGTAACAGAATAACACATGTGAGGCACACTGTTCTCCTCAACTGAGATTGACAGATTTCACATACTACAAATTTGTAAACTTTTGGAACATAACGCAATAGGCAAGATAATGACATTTGACAAGAAGTATCAACTGTAATGCTCAAATTACCAGATAAGTGAATGAGATAGTCGGAAATGTCTGATCCACGACGATAAAATCTATACCAGTAAAAGTAGCCCTCCTGTATGTTTTGAACTAATGATAACATTCAGTCCAGCAACAACTCTGCTGACCTCAAATCTAGAAGCCAAATAAAATTACTTGACCATGAGGCAGAAAGAAGATTCACAAAATTCTAGAAGGACAAAGCATTTGCTGGAATCATCACTCGCAAAGGCCAAAGTTGGAAGATTTGTATGTCCATTGTCCACCTTCAAGAGAAATTGTGTCTCCAGTATATGTGTGCCTCGCAAACAGTAGAAGAGGGAAGTCTATAAGCAGGCTATTTGGGTAGCTTGGTTTGAGGTTGCAGATGCCTGATTGAGGAAATAAACTCCCATTTGCTTCTTTTCATGAAGATGGCTTTACTTCAAAGGGACGTCGCACGATAGTGTTGCAGAAGGAGGCAACACAAATCTTGGTGTTGATTTAAACCAGAAAATGACTATCTAATCAGTTTTCTTTTCTCCGTTATTGTTCATGAATAGCTGATCTCTTAAAGTTTCAACTATCTTAGCTAAAATGTCACCATTTGAAGCTAGATAATCTTCAGCGTCCTGTCTACTATTTAAAACCTGTCCATCAATGAAGTAGCTCCCTCCTTCTTTCAGAACGACTTCATGTTCACAAGCCAATTCCAAAACCTCAGGTTCAATGCAAAAGCCTCCGCCGTACTGTATGCTCAGTTCAGCTTCTGTTGCTGCAGGAGCTAGCTTATTTTTAACCACCTTTACGCAGATCCTAAGACCAGTAATCTGGATATTTCAAGCAAACAATCATATATTCAAAAGACAATTAGCAAAGCCAGTGAAAAAAACAACATGAAACTCATCTAGGACCAGTCCATCTGAAATGAAGGGAATAAGCAAAACAAAGAAAAGCAGGTGAATATAAGGATTAACATAGCAGACATGACTCCAGATGATTCATACTACAGAATAGCAGAAGAAGCCCAAGCTCTTCCATTTTGCTAGAGGGAGTAGCACAGTAATAGTAAGTCCACACAATTTAAGCAAAACTGTAAACCAATGTTACTTGATCACAGACTGAGAAGTCTTTCAATTGTGAATCCACACAATTTAAGCAGAACTGTGAACCAATGTAACTTGATCACAGACTGAGAAGTCTTCCAATCTGAAATCAGTACGCTCTGACTCAGTAAATGAGTTAAACTGCAGATCAATAGCTCATACTCGTGTATATTAATTAGTTCCTATTCAATGAACATCTCAAATATCCAAAATGAGGTAGTTCTTATATTCTCTTCAACAAATAGCACATCTGTTTCCATAGAGCAACTTAAATGACTTTGAGTTTTTTTACCTAGAACACTTCACTTGTTTATTTGGACAAATATTTGTGGCAAATTAAAGAAGTCAGTTGAGGAATATCATATTCTCCTTCTCATGTTCCAAAGAAAGAGAACAGAGTGACAGATTCAGAATAATTCATACAACCTTCTGAAAGAATCGTGACCTCAAGAATCTAGGTTGTAACATCTAAGAAACAAAGTAAACAATTTTTAGTATAAGGAAGCCCATTTGGGATTATTATCATTATAGGTTAATAAAAATATATTTCTGAAGGTGCGAGTCAATGAGTCAGAAACATGCAATATGTACCTTATGCCTGGTCTTAAGCAATTGTTTTCTGATCGTTCTAAGCCGTATGGCAGCATAAAAAGGCAAAGCATTTCCACCACAAGTTACTTCATCCATACACCCGGAGCCTCGAACTAATCCTTTGTTAGATCTTCTTACCTAAATAGAGGGCAGATCAGTATGCCAAGCTGTTACAGAAAGCAAATAGCAATGAAAAATGTGTTCTAGTAACCAGATCAGACCTGATTAATGAAAATAATTAGTGTGCTAGAGTTGCCTAACGAATAATGAATTTTACGTAGTGCTTGTGTCATAATCTTTGATTGCAAGCCTTTAGGAGAGTCACATAACGTAGCATCAATCTCAAGTTGGGGAACAAGAGCTGCCACCTGTTAATAGAAAAGAAATTAAAACCCTTCAGAGGCAAAGATGGTTGATCATTTACTAGGAAAATTGGAGCAAAAGAATCAACCTTGAATTATAAAGGAAAGCACTTACACTATCAACCACGATTACATCCATGGATCCACTTTTTGTCAGGGTATTAACAATACTCAGCAAATTCTCAGCAGAATCTGGCTGCGAAATAAGGAGATTTTCTACATTTACCCCTATTGCTTCGGCAAGAGAGGGGTTCATTCCATTTTCGACATCCAGATATGCACAATAACCTATCAGTACAAAAGAAATAGGATGAGAGGAAACAAATTTGAAAATTATAGAGGATGGAAATACTGAAATGGCTATAAAGATTTCACACTGACAATTCTGGATATCATTATCTCGTGATAAACATTGAAATGTTTCCTTCTAAAAGGTAAATGATCTTTACCTTCGAAAGCTAGAATCACTTTCTTGTTCACTTTTAATTTAACTTTTTAAAGTACTCTTATTGAAAAAAAGTAATGGACTGTTCAACGCCAATCAGTACATCTGAAGATAATGATGTTTAGTATCATAACTGTCTAAAGTCTTTTTACCTGATCATACTATGGTGCATCTCGTTTCAAGGCTTTAAAGTGTGTCTTTGCCAACACTACGATTAACAATCACTTTTATGTCAAACTAAATAAAAAAATAACTCACTGTTTCCCAGTCACAATTAAAGAACAAGATCAGCATAAATCTTCTTTTGAGAGTTTCCCGAGATTTAAAACAAACTTAGAAGCACTTAATCCATTTCTAAGCCAATCAAATATGCTCATTATATAAACACAAAAAAGTTACAGCCATGATAATTATGAAAAAGACAAAAAGTTAGGAGAGTATTCAACTGGCAAGGATAAACTTTTTGTTCATTATATCAATAGGTGCCGTTTAAAATAAACAAAGGCATAAAATATGTAAATATCTATAAAGCATCACGTTTATAGTAAGAGCTCAGTATATTTTTCACCTCCAAGCTTTTGAGCCTCTCTAATTACATGAAGGGCAAGTGTTGTCTTCCCAGATGCTTCTTGTCCGTAAATTTCAACAATTCTTCCCTTTAGAAGGAAATTCAAATGAACTGCAACTGTTAATACCAGCAATATTCTTAAGACGAGAATAGTATCAGTAATTTGATTCAGAGAAGCACTGGACACTAAAATCATTATACAGATTAATACAAACTCAAAACACATAAAGAAGTACTCTGATACAGAGAAGCAACAAGCACTCAAATCATAAATTTTATAACTAGACATCTCATGAAACGACCATGGCACCTGAGGACTTCCACCCTAACCCAAAGGAGGAACAATGTTACAAATTGCACTTTGATAAAGCATAGAATCGGCTATTATCCAATGACATATCCATTTAGTGAACCCTCACCGAAGAAAAGAAGGAAAAGCTAGGCACGTAATTATACTCAGAAATTATGCAATTTTAAACCTTTAAAAGAACACTTTTAAATTCGATGCAAACCTTAAAAAAGTCGGTTGAGAACAGCAGCTGATTTACAAATCAAATCCAGGTATAAGTTAAGATAACTAAAGACTATACTTTCCTGATCCTCCTCCTTCCCTTTTCCCCTCAAAAGAAATGACCCCAACTTCTAATAAGGGGAAAATGCAAACCCTAATCAACAATCTTATTTCAAGAGATCTACGTCCATGGCCCTTTGAACATACAGTATATCAGCTATTACTGTTTTCGATTACAAAATTTAGGCAACAGCACGTCAGAACCACATGATGACCACATTTTTACAACTGGCGTCAATGACAAATTTATGTTTGGAATAAAAACGTAATCACTTTATATAAAATCACCTTAGGTAATCCTCCAAGCCCAAGTGCTAGATCAAGCCTCAATGAGCCCGTAGGTATTACAGGAGTACGTCTAGCACCAAAGAAGCGCTGCAAGGACAACCTTGATTCTTTGCAAAAATCGCCTTCAAGCTGCGAGAGGGCCGAATGCAGTGCACTGGCTTTCTCTGATGTTTTGGTGTCATCTTGGATTTCGTCAAGTTCACCTTCTGAAGATTTCATTAGATAACATGGTTGGAGTTATTCTAGCAAAAGACACTGAATGCTCCAGGAGTATGATAAAGGATGAAACTACAAGGAAAGCTCAAGCAGTTTAACACCAATAGGTTGCTCCCACTAACAACTGTATGTTGGAGACAAGCTACTGGATTTCTGACAAATAACTGAGCATTATTATACATATATTCACTAATTGAGAAGGTAATCTCGCCTATCTTCCTATTTGTCCAATTTTCTGCCAATTGTTTTTTGCTTTGCAAGTATATGGATATCTTTACCTCAACAAAACATTATGTTCGATACTTCGTTTAAACATATAGAATAATTCCACATACTAGAAGATGCAAAATATATTCCACGAAGGAAAGTTGTGCCTATGTGAGCTAGCTACATCACTGAGAATGAGTTATCATCCTAAAAAAGCTATCAACTACACATCAACATGTTCAATATTCTTGGAAAAACTGATTAATTCCTTCTCCCCAATACTGATATATCAAGGGTTGATGTCTACGCGTGAACCTCTTTTAATCTTTGACTAATCAGGAAACAAGATACTTCTACGGTGCCGTTCTTCTATTAAAACTCTCTAGCCCACATTATTCACCCTCTTTCCCCCTTTCTCAGTCAGAGTTACTTGGATGACATTGAATAATCGAAGAAAACCTCACATTGTTGAGAATACAATTAAATAACAGAAGTGTGCTCTCTCTAACAACTAAAGCTTATAGATGAGATGGTCACACACTTAACACATATGGAGATTATGCATAGAATGCCAAGAAGGGGACTCAAGGAGAAAACCTAAAATATTCTAGCCTGGCAACAAGGTACAGCACAATTCAGCCATCACAGAGTTTGGAAAACAAGATAAAGATGGTATATCACAGAAGCACCAAACAGTTAACAACTTGCAAACAAGTACTCATACCAACCCTTATATCCCCACCCCCCCAAAAAAATGAACTTTTTATTACAAAAACAAAAAAAGATTAGAACTTTACAATCATAAGAAAAAACCTAAACAAGTAAAGATAGTTTTTTATTACCTGCTGAAGATGCATAAGCACTAAGCATCCTTCTCCAAACCATTCCATTCTGATAGTAACAGTTAACCCCAAAAAATCAAAAAAAAAAAACACATAATTAGCCAAAACTAAGAACACTACACTTAGGAATGAATTCTTAGTCAAAAACAATAAACCCCATAACTCCAAAAAAGTATACCTTTTTACTTATATATATGTAAAGAGAGTAAAAATTACCTCCGGTTTGAAGGAAGATAAGGGGAAAACAGAAAGGCAACGAGAGGAAGAGGAAATGAAACGAAGAAATTGAAGCACCATTGTTTTTTCACTAGGGCATCTGTGCCACTCCAACTTTGGAGCTTTTAGCAGCTGTATTATAGTCTTGCCATTAATCTACAAACAGAGCTTTTCATTTTTCTTTTAATCTTTTTCAAGAAAGATAAGGGGCAAAATAAAAAGAAAAATCTTTTCTTTTTTAGTAATTAACAAAGTGGTAAGTATATCTTTATCGTTTATCAAAGTTTTTGAATCAGAAAAGTGCGAAATCACTGAATCATCTTCATTATTTTTGATGTGAAATTTAATTTAAATTAAATTTTAATGTAGATATCAAATATACAAAGGTAAATCAAAAAGTTTATAAATAAAAAAAAAGTTTATAGAAATTTAGAGAAGTTAATAGCTTGAAAATAAGTCGTCCTATTAATGTGTTTGTAAGCTTAAATATTTCCTAGCTTACCATCTAATATAGGATCAATTTGCATTTTTATGTGTATTTATTCATGGTTCAACTTAAATACCTCAATACATATACATTATTATGTCAAAAATAAAATAATTAACCTACTTTAACTCATATTAATATTGTATACTACAACAACAACAAAAAATTACTCACCTTGGTATTTATATCAAAGATTATATTTTTATTGTTTTCAAATGTTAAATTTATGTGAAAGTAAATCTTTAATTAGTTAGTAAGCTTAAATGATTAAAAAAAAATTAAAACATGTCAAGAATTCTTGTTTTTTTTTTGTCTCTGCCCTTATTTTCTTTACCCACTAATTATTCAAATATAATTTTAGGGGAAAAATAGATCTGACGAAACTGTTTGATTTTTCATAAGAATCTGTCTACTACTACTTCATAGTAAAAATCAAAGTTTATTAATTGTATGCACCTAACATTATTTGACTTTCTCAAACTCAAAATACACAGTTCTCTTGATTTTTGTAGGCTGGGAAAATCTTTGGAAGCAAATCAAGATTCAATATCCATAGTAAGCAGCTATGTCTTTAGCAATTTCTCAGCTTTCTTGTTTTTCTTCAATCAATCGCAGATTAGTACAGTTTCACAGTCGACCATTGCAACCATGTTCTACTTTTTCCTTAAAGGTACAATCTTTTCCCTTTTTTTACATCAAGAATTGATTTTTTTGGAACCCCAGAATTTTGTTTGTCCATTATCTGTTGCCAAGACATTTTTTCCTCTTAATTTCATTTGGGGTATTGGGAAACTAGTGGTTTCTGATGAATGTTAGGGATGCATCCATTTCTTTGAGCTTGAACCATGTTATAGTTGAAATTTTGTTTGAAGTATGTGTTTATGTTGTTAGTTGGTATCCATAGTTTCAAGAATGGTGATGAACCTCACAGAACTAGTTGATCCTCTTTCTCCCTTGCTAACTACCAAAGAACTTCGCTGTCACTAGTAAATTAGATCATCCCCACTAAAAGACTAGCTCTTTTAGTTCCTTATTTTTTCAGTTTGTATATGTCTGTGTCTGTCGGTTGTCTATATGAAAGATCTTCATTCCTTTCACCGGAAGGAGCAGACTTTGTTCTAAGGGGTATCGGGTTCCATTCTAAATAGTGCCTTAAGCATGAAAGAAATGAAATTATGTGGTATGTTATCGTGTATAAGAGAAAGCTTGCGTCTTGAATCTGCCTGTAACTGTTTGGGGGCTAGTGCTGGGGAAATGAAAGAATTTTAAGAGATGTTGTGTTGCTCTGTTTATTGAGTACCCTTGTATGTTTTTTCTCCAGTGATATATTGTGTAAGACTGTAAGCTTTGTCGTGGTGATCATTTAGAGCTTCAATCATCTTTTTTTGTTGATAAGATTTCATCTTTAGAGACTTATCTTCTAAGTAGTGTCTCCTACTCTCCTGATAAACTTATATAGCATATTCAGCAATCATATGGTTGGACACAAAAGAATGGGCCCAAATAAAGTAGAATGGTATTATAGATTTATATAGTCGACCCCAACCAGTTTGTGATTGAGCCTTGAGGCATAGTTGATTGATTGGTTGATATGTTTTGACCACTAAAATTACTTACTTTTAATGTGATCATAATTTATTCAGCGAAAGATTGATGCATACTTCCCCCTTCTGAATATGATTTTGCTCATAAAATAGATGAAAGATGGAGCCTGAAACTACTTCTATATTTATCTTTACAAAACAAGCATATAACATCTAAACTTAGGCCAGAGTGGACCTCTGGGAGCCTAATTTTTCAAATCTAAAATACCCTTAAATCTTCAATGATGCTTCCATACAAAGTATACTCAATTGATCTCTTATTGTTCTTCTGATTTTAGGAGTTGTACCTTCTGTAAGCTAGTGTATACTTTCCCTCTCGCTCTTTTTCTTTCTATGTTTTCTTGAAGCAAACTCAGAGTTAAATGTTAATTTGTTTGACATTTTAGTACGGTGCCTGACATTTTGTTCTCTAGGGAAGTGACTCGCCATGTGGAGTCTGTATTCCTTCACTTAGACAAACTTCGTTTATCATGGATTTCAGGTAATCTCTATGAGTAACGATGTACATGGCACAGATGAATCCAGTTTAAAGAGCCGGACCACTTTAAGTTATGCAACTGATTCATCGCAATCACTTAATGGGACTTCATCAAACTCATATTCTGCACCAGAAGAATATGTCTCTGAGAAAGAAATAAATGAGTCAGTGCAAGAGAACTCCAGCAGCCAGCCAAAAAAGGCTGCAAAAATTCATGATTTCTGTTTAGGAATTCCCTTTGGTGAGTTTCATCTTATACTCTGAGGAGGCAGAGGACATCTAATGCTTCTCTATTAAGAGGTTCCATATTTCATATTTCTCTTTACAATGTGTCTAGTGGTACAAACTAGTGTCAATTTTTCACCTTTGCCACATCATCTCCCATTTTTTGTTAACTTGGTCCCTTGTCCACTGGTGAATTCAGCCAGTTTAGACTTTAGAGGTCTTTAGAATCTCTTTATATTTAGCCCATCACATATTAGTTGATTTTGTTCTTTTTTTAGAAAAAAATCCTCCGTGATCTCGCTGATTATTGAATAAGAAGATGAAGGTGACACACTATGCTCTCCACCTTTCTTCAAATGAAATCTTAGTGTATTTCCTTCAAGTAATTTCTAAACATTTCCAAGTCAAGAATGCCACTTATGAACTGTAACAATGTGCTGATGACTCAATCCTTGGTCCTTTTCTTAAATCCAAGAGTCAGTTGAAAGTAGAACTTTATTGATTTACTAACAGAAAAATGAAGAGAACTTGATTTTATAGACTAGGATCAAGAGTTGTTATGTAAAGGTCTTTTCTTTATTGGAAATTTAAGCCTATTCATTCACTTCTCATCTGTCAATTCTGTTATGAACATCAGGATAAATGTTTATTACATTTCTTTTAACCTGCAAGACCGCCAATTCTGGAAAATGTATCTCATATGTGAGTGGGCAACACTTATCTGGCTATACCCATGTTAGGTGCACATGTAATAAACTTGGTACATTTCTTAAGCATTTCCTTGAGGGGGTGCTCTAAATATAGGCACATCAATAGATAAGTCTTTCAATGTTCTACAGTACTGACACTAGACTACTTTTAACTATTGTATTGTACATAGCGTCTATAAAAGCACTAGGCATAAGATACAATGATTTGACATTTTCGCAATCTCTTCTGTTACTTCTTAGAGATCTGGTAATAACTCATTGATTCTCTTCACAGGTGGTTTTGTTTTCACGGGAGGATTTATTGGTTTTATTTTCTCAAGAAATCCTGCCACATTAAGCAGTGGTGTTCTTTTTGGAGGTGCATTATTGGCCCTCAGCACCATTAGCATGAAGGTGTGGCGGGAAGGGAAAACTAGCTTTCCGTTCATATTGGGTCAAGCAGGTATTTGCCGTTTATTCTGCCTCATCTCTTTGTGGCTGTTGGACAGTCTGCATGTTATTGGTTGTGAACCGGGAACACTTCCTTAGGGCATAAATCGTAAATCTCTTCCGATCTGATATCAGTTTTAAAATTCTATGTGATCATAGATATGTTTAATGTTTATTACTCCATAATTCAATAACAATGGCATCCATAATGTGATAGACCTATGGACCGATGTCACATTGATATCAGTTGCCAAGGCTAAATTTTATTTTTTGTGCACTTCAAATTTTAACAACTTCCATCCACAGTTTGATCTTGCATTTTTCGATTTAACTTTTCAAAATACGCTGCTACTAATTGAAATTAATTCAGTGTTTGGATTCACTTTTACGTATTGTGTCTATACAATTGCATATCTTCTATAGAGTTGCATATTTTTATGAACTCCATCTTTTCTGGTCCCTGACCTGCTAATACGTATAGCAGAATATATCTTCCTTCCGCTAATTCCTGATTTTCCCCTTCTGTTGTCCTGCAGTACTTGCTGCGACCCTTCTGTGGAAGAATATGCAGACCTTCTCACTGGTAATTCTTCATATTGCCAAAGACTTTCTGTTGGCTTATTCCCAGGATTGCATTATTAAAAAGGTCTTTTTGTTTTGTTTTTGCAGACAGGAAAATTGTTCCCTACTGGCTTCTTTGCTGCCATCAGGTATTGCAGCGTCTTCTTTTCTTTCTTCTCTTCTCGAGTATTCATTACCAGGTGTAACTGTGCAATGTTATCTTCAATTTGTTGTTAAACTTTACAGCGCTGCAATGTTCTGCTTCTACTCTTATGTGATACTCTCTGGGGGTAATCCACCACCTAAGAAGTTGAAGGCATCTACATCAGGGGCATATTAGTGAAAATCTCGACACCTGTTGACAGTTTTAGAGTGAGCAAATCTGTTAATTTGCGCGAGTTACATGTTGTCTATGAGGGAGAGTGAACAACGTTTCGATAATGTTGGTCTTGGAATGTAGAATGAATTTGCTAAAATGTCATAGGAGTTTGTTCATTAGCAACTTGCTGGTGGCACAATGAATGTTATAATAGTTTGGATTATACAAATTGTTACTTATGTATGAATCATTTTAAGTACTTGAAGCATAGAATACAGTATTTTCTCTTCATATTTTCTCTTCCTATTGTTGTTCTATAGAGTAGTTTCTTTCAATTCAAAGTTTATATTTTGGGTTTTCTTTCTTTTCCCTTGTTAATTTTTGAGAAATTTAGAGTTTTTGTTAATTGATTTGGATATATAACATCATCAACTACGCCTCAATTCCAACCTAGTTATATTTAGACGCGGTTATACAATTTTTTCATGGGATTGAACCGGATTGACCGACTAGTAGTAAAATCTTATAGAGAAATCGTCATTTATATCCTCTGTTATAAGTTTGCCGTATCATATACATGATCTCGCACAACATAATTAAAGTGAGGGCTTTGATGATCGGCAAATGCTTCTCCCGTATAACTAATCGTATGAGGTAGGATGCTTGTGAAAAAACTAAGCAATTTAAAAAAAAATGAAATGTTTGAAATTTGACGAAGAATTTTCTATCAAAGAACTAGATATATATACATAGATGAGTAGATTAATAATCCATATTGAAGTATTTTGACAATTTTAATTTGATCCTTACTTGGTTATGATATAATATTAATGATTATACTAAAATGAGTTTAAGTTTTACCAATAATACACTCCCAAAAAAGATTATCATACAATTAAAATTAACTTAATTATTATTATAAATAAAGGATATTACTATCCACGATAAAAAAAATAGTAACTAATTCACTATCGATAATATTCATTGGTAACTAATTAATTAATTCCTATTTTAATGCCATACATCCCCCATAAATTCCTAAAATAACGCATAAATTTTCTATATAAATTTCACATTTTTTCTTCCATTTTTGTAGTTGCTAGCACCTTTTTGAGTTTTTTTTTAAAATAAAAAAATCACATTTTTAAAAAAAAAATTATATATTAAAAGGTTATCCAGCACCACCATCATCACCACCTGAACCGCCACTGTATAACGGCCGGCAACCTTACACAACCACCAAACATGACCAACACAAATTTCTTCCCAATTTTGTTTGCATTTATCTTCATTTCATCATACACAATATGCAATGCTAATGAAGTTGGTATGTTATTTTATTCAATCGAAAAAATTATATAGATATAAATATGTCAAAAAAAAATTATGTTTATGTATTATATGAATTATAATTGATTCCCCTTTAATGTTTTTTAATAATTTGAAAATTTCGATTCAATTATATATATGTATCATAGATAATTCTTTCTTGATGTTTTATATCAGAAAAGGATTAGAATTATTCTTAAGTTATTGGACGTTGAATATTAATTTAATACCTAAAACAAACTAAAGGTAAAATTATTCTATTTTTTTATGATTTTAAGGTAAGTATAACCCTTTTCTGAATTTTAATTTCACCTTTTTTGACCATGCGATTTTGTTTTTTCTTTCTTATTGAATTATGTTTTTGTATAAAATATTTTTGTATTGTATTTGATTATTAATTATCTTTTTTTGCGACACAATACTAACAGATGATGAGTCAAAATTTAATTACTTGTTGGGAACAACAGAAGGACCAGAAAGTTGGGGTACGATTAAATTCGAATGGAAATTATGTGAAACTGGATTATTTCAGTCTCCCGTTAATTTCCGTAATAAGAGTGTGAAAATTACCACTACTATCCCTCTTTTGAAACCTAACTACAAAAATGCCCCTGCTATGATAGTTAACAGAGGTCATGATATCAAGGTACGTAACTCTAAAATAATTATGGTACATTTCATATTTATAAAAAAAAAATTATTTAAACCCCTAATTATAGTTTATTCGATAAATCCTTTATTTATTAAGTCTATAAGCTATTAGATTGAGTCGATTAAAAGTGCATTTCATTTATGATATGAATATAATATATAAGTTAAATCATCAAATATAAATTTTGAACCTTTTTATTATAGTATATGATATTTATCTTCTTGAAATTTCTGAATCCGCTCGGATAAATAATGAGTCCAATCGAGTTTTTTGGGACAGTTGCAATGGGAAGCAGATGCAGGAAGTATCAACATTGATGGTACTGAGTACAGATTACAACAATGCCATTGGCATACTCCTTCTGAGCACAAAGTTGATGGAAAAAGGTTTGTATATATTATAGTATTTTTATCTCGATTTACGTGACATATTTCATTTTTCGTGAGTTAAACAGCTTAAATTTGATTAAGAATTTGCTTATAAAATCTTCAAAAATTTTAAAATGAAATTTATTTACTATGAAAAAAGTACTATAAGTCACAATAATTGACAATTTAAAAAATATAAAAAAATATATATGGTCAAAGATTGACTTGTTTTAAATCTCGAAAGTCGAAATGTGTCACATAAATTAAGACAGAATAAGTAATTGTTATTTGAGTTTGCTAGCTAATTGGAGATCTAGTTGAAACTTAAATTTAAGTATTAATTAGTTGATATATATCGAAAGCAAAAATGCTGACACGAATAACGAAAAATCTTTTACAGTTTTGGTATGGAAGCCCATATGGTTCATCAGAGTGATGATGGTAGATTAGCTGTGGTTGCTATACCCTTCAAAATTGGAGCGCCTAACCCTTTTCTTGATCAGGTATCTAATTTTTTCTATGTTTGATATTCGCGTAATATTTATCTAATTTGAAGGATAATGACAAGTTTATGTCACTTGATTTGGCGTTGAACACGTGTCATCGATCATATCACTTCACTTCAATCTAATGTCATAAATTTTGTTGTCATTATCTTCTTTGTCTATTCAACTATGTAATCACATTCAATGAAGGATTGTTATTACTTGACCTTATCAAAATAATTGTATATTAAATTAATTTTTAAATATTTTAACGAAATTTTTGATTTTGCGACCAGTTAATAGGCCACGTGAAGAGAGTTGATGATAAGGGTCTTAAATTGGGACTTGTTAACCCTCAACAACTTGGAGTCAAAGCTGAACCTTTCTATAGATACATTGGTTCACTCACTGTTCCACCATGCACTGAGGGTATTATTTGGAGTGTATTATACGAGGTATTCATTTGAAAATTATTTATAAAAATTATATTATTATACAAAAAGGGGAAAAAGATATTTTATTTTATTTTTAATTTGCAATCATTGACTATTTTATTGGCTAATTTAGGCAAGGACTGTGTCAATGGAACAAATGATGGCACTAAGAAATGCTGTTCATGATGTAAGTATTAAACTTCTCTTTTAGATAATGTTTGAGTTAGCTGATTAAAAATAACTCATAAACATCGAATGTTGAAAATATAACTTTTTAATTTTATGAATAAAAAAATATACGTAGATAGAAATATTAAAATTAATCATAAGATGTTAGTACGTGTGGTATCACATGTTAAACTATTTTAGATTAAAAAAGTCGTGCATAGATTCGAAAGGGAGTCTTTCAAGAAGTAGTAAAATTGTCTCTCAAGTTCGAACTTTAAAGAAAAAATCATTGATATATTTATATTAAGATAGATTGTCTAATCACACTCGTTTTAGTGCTCTCTTTTATCAAACCCTGTCAATATTGGATGCTTTATGCGATTTTAATATTATTATTATTATTTTTTTTTACAGGGATTTGAAGCAAATGCAAGACCAGTTCAAGGCTTACATAGAAGACCAGTGTATCTAGCTATGTAAAGATAGATGATGGCATGTTAATTTTTTAAGAAAAAAAAAGTGTTTCTTCATTGCAATATTGTTGTAATTATTTAAATATAGCCTATTTATGGTGGTCAAGTAATTGGAAATTATCTTTTAAATAGATATATTTGAAAACCAATTAAAAGTCACATATATATAGTTGAGATGAGGTTCACATGTATATCTCAAAGCAAATATATATATATATATATATATATATATATATATATATATATATATATATATATATATATATATATATATGCTTGTCTCTTTTTTTTTCTTTTCAAAACATGCACGCTATCTTATTTTACGTATCGATAGCACAAAAAATATTTATTTTTACATAATCAGATTATTTATAACTCAGTTAAAACTTAAAAGAGAAAAATAGAGGAAAACAATTATCTTCTCTTCAAGTTGAGTTCTTGTATAGCACAAGAGGTTATTTGTTTTTTATATAATCAAGAAATAATCAAAGTTGAATAATACATGATTTGAAATTTGTGAGTCGTGATTAATGACTTTGTTTGCATTCTTCTTCACGTGAATATTAGAGTTTTATTTGTAATAGTTTAAAATTTGTGGTATACGACGTATAACGTATATAATACGTGTTGCATTTATGACATATGATACGTAACTAACAGAAAAACGTGTATTCTCGTCTATAAATATTGCATATATATAATATGACATACGATACGTAAGCAAACATAATAAATGTTGTGTGCTTTCTATTAATACAATTATGTTGTACAAATGCAAAATGTAGCATCATTAGCATAAAGTAATTGACCAATTAATCCCTTTGCTTCCATTAATAGTCAAAGTTAGAAGTTAAATTTTGTTTAAACATGTAATTTAGATTTTAATTTTTTTTTATTAATATGAAAATACGATAATTTATGAAAACTATTTACGCTTGTCAATTCTAAACAATCTTATTAAATTAATACTTCATAATTCATAAGTAAAATATTATAAATATGATTTTATAGAAGTAGTAAACTGTAGATTGATTTCTAATTAATATGATTGACAACAAGAAAGTAAATTAAGTTGACTAATTCTCAAACTTGACTCATAAGTCAAAACTCAAAAAGTAATTTAATGAAGTATAAATATATGTTTATAGTTAATGTTTAAATGTCTAATTATATATGTAGGAATTAATCACTTTGTACTCTTTTTTTTTGTCTGTGTAATACAAAGAATAAAGTACTTTTTGGGCCTTTTTCACTTTTTATTTTTGTGGATTTCTTTTCTTTTTCTTTTTAATTTTTTCTTTCTCATTTGAAAAATAAAGTACCTCAATTGATTGTGAAATTTGTTTCCCTTCTTATATATTATAGTATAGTCTAAATAAAATATGGGATTGATTTTAAGTCTATCAAAAAATTGTCTAAATATAAATTTATCAAGCAGGATCAATAATTAACATCACATTTAATTCTTGTAACATCTTTATTTAATTCTTTTAATATAATAAAAACACGAGTTACACATTTATTTTTCTTGATACTATTATGAGAGTGTGTAAATTTTTGAGTTAAAGAGTAAAAACATATTTAAAGTATGTATTACTCCCTCTATTTCATTTAGTTTGTCATTTTTTTATATGCATATTAAGAAATTATAAATAAAAAGATAATTTCACTAATTAATTCCTTTCAAAAAATTTTGGATATTTTAAATACAAATGTAAACACTTGAAAAAAATTTAATCATAAGAAAATATAGAAAAAAACTGAATTAACGATTTCTTGATTTATTAAGATAAACAACTAATATGAGATAATTATTTTTAGTAATTAAGATAATCAATTAATAAGTGAAGGAGAGAGAGAAAATTTCGAATCTACACCATTGAAAGTAATTTTTCTATCTGAACTATCATTAATTGATTGGCGAAACACACCTATATATACATTTATTAGACAAAAATATTTGTGTAAAAATGTTTGTAAGCATGTTTACTCGTAAAATCTTGATCCACTTAACATATATCATGACTCTATTTGCGTATGCATTAATATTTTAAATATATATTAAGTTGACTTCTTTAAAACATTTAACTCTCCCTTTCATAGATATCAATAACACGACATAAGCAAGACTACGACTAACAAAGATAGACAAGAAAATGGTGGTTTTCATTGTTAGAATAAATTAATTTATACATTAATAAATTCAAAACTTTAACCTAACATTCATTTATTTTTAGATTTGCTATGAATTCGATCGAATTATTTTTCACATAGAATGTCACGTGACAAAAGTTTTAAATAAATGAGAGAGTATACATATATCATCATAAACTAATCGAGATGTGTGTTGGGTCATAGTTCAGATAGCAAACTCATACCTTTAATATTTCACGTGTGAAAATAAAAAATTAAGATAATTTAAATATATTTTTGACACTTAACACTTACTCCTTTTTTCTATATTAACTGATCATTTTTCTAAAATGGACACTCCACTTTAAAAAATCAAGAAAATACTAATTAATTTTTTTCTCTATATTATCTTGCAAGGAATTATCTTCTTTTTTATAATTTAAAATAGGAATTTTATTTTTTACCTTATTTGGTATTCCCCTTAAATAATTCAAATTATGGGGGAAAAAGTTTATTTTTTTTAAAAAATTATTTGTTTCTCTTTCTTCCACCTATACACACATCTAACAAAAATTCCCAAAAAGCACACACATTGCATACTAAAAAACCAAATAAAAAAACATAGTGAAAGATTTCCTCAATCTGAGGAAAAACAAAACACACATTCCCATCAACAAGATTTACTCATTGAAATTTTCTTGAAATTCCTTCACAAATTCAAGAATTCACTTACCCACAAACCCAAAAATGTCATCAGCACAATCAGAAAAACAAACCCTTTTCATTGCTTCACTTATCATCTTCTGGTACTCATCCAACATTGGTGTCCTTCTCCTAAACAAATTATTACTCTCAAACTATGGTTTTTCTTTCCCTATTTTCCTCACAATGTGTCATATGTCAGCTTGTGCTGTTCTTAGCTATGTTTCCATTGTTTTCTTAAAGATTGTACCTTTTCAGAGGATCAAATCAAGGTCTCAATTCTTAAGAATTGCTACTCTTAGCATTGTCTTTTGTGGGTCTGTTGTGGGTGGGAACATTTCTTTAAGGTATCTTCCTGTATCATTCAATCAAGCTGTCGGTGCAACGACACCGTTTTTCACAGCTTTGTTTGCTTATCTGATCACTCAGAAGAGGGAAGCTTGGATTACTTATGGTTGTCTTGTTCCTGTGGTTGCTGGTGTTGTGATTGCTAGTGGGGTATGTGGAAAAATGCTTAAAGATTTGATTTTTGGGTTAATTTTGGAAGTTTGGTAATTTGCTGTCTGTTGATCTTGCTGTGATTTGTTTTTTTTTTTTATGTATAAAGAGGATTCTTTCCTAGTGGGGTGTGTTAAAAATGTTTAAAGATTTGATTTTTGGTTCAGTTTTGAAGTTTTGTTTGTTTGATTTCTATTGATCTTGCTGTGATTTGGTTTTTATGACTAAAAGATTAATCTTTTTCTTGTTTTCTGAGTGACCCTTTTGGATCTTTTATGTTTACTCTAACTGTAGTTGATCTATACTTGCTAGTACAAAATTGGAGGATTTTGAAGTGTGAATCACTGAGTCTTATTGCTGTGATTTGGTTTTAATGAGTAAAAGAGGAATCTTTGTCTTGTTTTCTGAGCCTTTTGGGATCTTCTATGTTTTCCTCTACTGTAGTTGATCTATACTTGCTAGTACAAAATTGGAGGTTTTGAAGGTTTTCTTTTGAAGTGTGAATCTTACAGCTTGAGATCAGATCTGGGATTTGTTTGCTCTTTTAATACATTATGCAAATTCTAATGTTTTTTCTCTACCATGCACTTATATTGTTGAAATTGATTTCAAATGTTGTCGCCATTTTATGATTAATAGACTTTTAACAAACTGAGAGATCCAAAGTCTGCTGGTGAGAATTTAATATCTTTTTTGGATGGTTGTTACCTATTGTATTGTATTGTTAGTTTAAATGCTATGTTTGTTTTGATTGTTACTCGTATTGTATCCTTAAATCCGTCGTTACATAACGACAAAAAGTCCCTTTTTATGTAGCACCGGTTTGGTGTGATCACGCCGTTACCTTATATTTTGTTCTCATTTTATCTTTGCTTATTATCTAGTAATCCTACTTTATTCTTAATCTTCCTTTTTATAATAGTTCTACCTCGTGTCCTACTTTTCTTATAAGTTTGTCCATCAAATTGTTCATGTGTGCATTATGTAACAATGGAAAACGATACATTCTATCCAGCGATGTATTCATCAATACATATAGTACAATACATGAAATGATATGTAATAACCATCCAAACAAAGTAGAGGATTTGAAGTAAATAGGAAGTGTTAATTAACTATTCCAAGTTTTAAGTAATAAGCAGGCTTGAAAAGCTGGAATATTTGGTCTATCATGTGACAAAACAAGGTAATGTATATCTTTCTTACCTTATTTGAAAATTAACGAAAATGTTACCACCTTAATACCTTGTCATCGGATATTTTGATAAACTCCAAACCTGTCAAGTTTCAAGTTATATTTTCTTCAGATAGATATGACATAAATTACCTTTTGAGAAGAGTGAAAATGGAAGAAAGGTTTTTAAACAAAATCACGTGCTTCAGGAAAATTACCCTCTAATTCTTAAGGTTCATCAAAGATGCTAATAATTAATGGAGAGTAAGCTAAATTAGCTTACTGAAGTTGCAAATATAGTTTGAATACAGTCGAATGATATTAGTGTAATGGCTGTGCACTAGCAGGAATTACCTGTATGCAAGATATTTTGTCTTGTTAAATCCTTAGTCTATTTTGCTTGTTGGTTCTTGAAATCAGTTACACCTTCATAAGAGAAAACATTCAACATCTTGAATGTAAAACCTCTTCAACTGGTTGACATCGTCTATCCTCTTTCCAACGACTCATTTACTTGATGTGATCTTTTAGTGGTTTGATAAGTATCTTAATTGTTGACAGGGTGAGCCAAGCTTCCACCTTTATGGATTTATCATGTGTATAGGTGCAACTGCTGCTAGAGCCTTTAAGTCTGTTCTTCAAGGCGTCCTTC